CGCCCCCCTCGTCCCCCGTTTGAGATTCGATGCGCATACGAAACGAACGGTGTAACCTATTTATGTGATGAGGTAAGCTAGCAGTTTTTTGAAAATTTGAAACACATAAAACCAAGTGGGACGTGTGTTCGTTACAGCAAACTAACGATAGACGAAGGTTCGAAGTCGAGAGAAGCGTGCGTCATCATACACTCATAGGCTACCGGCTTCTCTGAAACAAAATGACAATTATTTCTGGAAGAAATAATTCTCGGAGTATCCTGCAAGTTGCCGTTCCTTTGACCTTTTTGGGAGAGATGAGATGCTTGCCCGCGCGGTCGTACGCACATATCGCAAGTTAGCAGTGTTGCACAGCAGTCCCTAGCGCACGATGGGCACATGATGGATGGTGCATAAAGCGCTTACGAACCATTTCGTAGTAAGCAGACATGTGCGGGCTATGCATATATGGTTGCTACATTAATTTTAGACATGTTCCGAGTTTTTTTATAACCTCAAGTTCTCAAAAATACCCCGAAGACAGTCCCGTCCAGTAAGATCGCTTGTTCTTTACAGTCCTGAGCGGAGGGGTCCGACGTGGAGACGCAGGTGCGACGACGTGGTTTTGACCCGTCCCGCCTGCGCGGGCAGCTCGCCCGTCGCTGGACGCCCGGAGCCCCGAGCGGCGGCGTCTCGCTGAGAGAGGGCGTCCCGCGGTCTCCGAGGAGAGGGAGGGCGAGCGGCGGCCCCTGCGTCGCGGTCCGCAATTCGACGCTATCTTACCGAGTTGAGAGTAGGCGCAATCCCGCCGCTTCTCTCGGAGGGGCCGCTGGGAGGCCTGCGGTGCGCCCTCAGCCTTGAGCTAAAATTCCGTACCTCTATATATCGCCGTCACGGCTCCGACCTCGACCCTGTCATGCTTGGACTCACAGGCTCAACAATAGCCAAAAATGACCGCACGTGAATGCGACAGGGACGGGCGTCATTCGCCCGGACGGACAGCACGATGTCACCAATCGTTTCAGCAACCAACCCCTTGTGGTTCTTTCTTCCTACTTTTCCTTCCCCCCCTTTGGCCGGGCTTGAGTCCGCCCGCGCGCATCAAGCCCCAAGCCAAAGCCCTTTGAGTTGGATCATCACGTACGCACGTACGTCTTTGAGCCGCAAAATCGCGCACGTGTGTGTTCTTCTCACCTTGGTTCCGTCCTTGGGCTTAATGCCCCGCTTCTCAAGGTCCTCGATCGCCGGTCTCGCCAGCAGCTGCTCCTTCAGGCTGATGGCGATAAGATTGCGCTCCAAGTGGACCATGGCGGGGTCAAGGCCGCCCGACCGGTAGATCCTGCCATTGTTTTCGTTCATTGCATATAGTGGTTATTATCGGTAGGGATGGGGAGAATCGGTGCTTGTAGGGGAGACGGGGAGGTGTGTTGAGGCAGGTAGACCCACGTGCGTTCAAATTGTCGTTTGTTCGCCACGCATGAACGTTAATAAGAGTTCCACTCGATCCGAAATGGACACGGTGTGCAAGATTAAGAGCGGTGTTAGCTTGCGGTCAAAATATTTATTCGCGCGCTAACAAGTACAGCAGTGCCGCAAAAAGCAATGCAAACTTGTGTACTGTAGGCTGTGCTTCCAGTGCATTTGTACCTGCTCTCCTTGAGCTTGTCAAGGTCAGGCCGGGCGCTCAACTTGGCGGCCATTGTGGCGCGGAGGTCTTCCTTGGCCTGTGGCACGCGTGGCGTGCCGTGGTGTGGCGTGTGGCACGTACAGGAAACAGGCACACGTGGGGAGAAACGAAGGAAGAAAAGAGCTCAAGGCACCGCTTCGGGCGGATGTATGTGTGTGCGCACTCTATTCAATGCACACACGGTGAAGGGATTTCCGGCTATCGTGGTACCTTTTCACCAGTTCGCGAGGACCTCTCCGAGGTGCTGCACGTGAGGGGAGTATGTCTAACGCCAACGGGAACGATGTTGATCTGCGCGCACGTTACGCATCATGCGGGAAACGCTTCCAAAGGCTTGCCACTTTTGCATGTGTCCAAAACTTTGCCATTTGTCCAAAGTTGAGTTGTCTCGTAACATGCGGGGCACTGCTGTGAGTACGCAAACTCGCATGCTGTGTCTGGCAATCTTCGGATCTCCAAGTGCACGTCTCCATGCCTGTGCAACCAACAAGTTCAAATCCAACTTCCGTGGTCCAAATACTTAACAAAAACAAGGTACGAAAGTACGAGACAAAAGACGTGTGTGACCAACGCAAAAACTGCGCTTCCCGACATGCACGCAATCCGAGCCCTGCCGCACTCGCGTCCAGCAGAGTGGGATTACCTTGGCTTCCTTCTTTGCAGCGTCGGCCAAGAGCTCCTTGTGGCGCATCTGGTGGGCAGCGGATGACCTCGCCTCGCAATGCCTGCAGAAAGACTGATGGACACAGCAGAGACAAGCAGGCGGGGGGGGGGGGCGTACTCTTATGTTTTGCGTGCCTTAGCGGTTAGACCATTGACCACGCGTCTTCGAGAGGACGGAGCATTGTTCCCACAGGACCGATCACCGATGGCCAATCGTTCCTTCCTACTTTGCCAAAGGTGGTTCAAAAATGTCTTCCCTAGTCTGTCTATCCTAACGATATCCCTTCCCGCCTTTTCAAACCACTTCCTACTCCCCAGTACAGCTACCGTCCTCTCCTCTCTATTCCATGCCTCAAACATCTCCCTGTACGTCCCTTGTATTTTTCCCAGCTCAGTCATGTACACTTCCCTCTCCTCTTCGTACCACGGACATTCCGCGACTACATGAACACGGTCTTCGCATTCGAAGCCGTAATCACATTTGAACTCGTCGTCTTCGTCGTCTACCGTCCTATGTCTTCGTCGACGTTCTCGAAGGCCTATGTCCCCGGTCCTGAATTTGACCTCAAGCTTTGTCCCTGCATCCATTGGTCCATGTAGGTAATCCTTGAACCCTATTCCTTCTTTCAACATTCCGTACACTTCTAGACCCTCCTTATCGTTGGTTCCTTTCCTTAGATTCTGTTCTTCTCTCTCGGCACAAGCAACAGATATCTTCTCCTTGAACCCCTGTAGACCCTCCGTTTCCAGCTTTTCATCTTCGTCGATGTCTAACCCCTTCCATACGTCCTCTACAACCTTGACCCATTCCGTGGGTTGTCTACCCCTCTTTTTTGTTTGCCCACTTCGCCTCCCATACTATTTTCGGCAACCTCTCCTCTCCCATCCCGCACATGCGATACAAGCAGGCGGGGGGGGCAACATTAGGAGGAGGGAGCGGAGGGAAGGAGGCACCCGAGCGAAATTTTCTTGTCGGCTTTAACCCAAAGAAGAGATGGAGAAAAGGACTCGGCCCATGGCGAATCTGGCGGTCGCTCCCTCCTTCCCTCCCTCCCTCGCTTAGATATAAAAGCACGCACGCCAAATCATCTGATTATGGCTATATGCGTAAACTGTCTTATGTGCTTGTGCTGCACAAAAACACAAACAAGGCATTCTCATATCTCCTTCCACATGCGCGTCCGAACCGACCATCCGCCTGAGCGGCGTGACGCAGAACGCGCCGCTCTCGACCCACCCGGCAGGAGACGGTACGTGTCGACAACTATCCCCACCAAAGCGGATTTAGACATCATGTCGTTGCCGCATCCGGCAGCCAGTCAGGTAGGTGAGAGTAACTCTTGTTGTCCAAGTGCCCTCGGCCAAATCGTTGTCGGGGTGCCGCAAACAAGGAAAAACCAATCAAACCGGCTCTTTTTATTATATCCCACCTTGAAACCGTCCAACTGCTTCGTGTTCCCCTCGGCGGAGCCCCCCTCGCCAGCCCCCATCCCCCACATGGCGTTAAGGGCGTCACGATCGAGAGATGCCGAGGCGACCCACCGCTTGACGAGTGGGTATGACAGCGCTTGGTCAAGGGTAACCCTGTCGCAGTCATCGTCGTCGTCGAAGTTGTCGTCGTCATTGGTTGTTGTTGTGTTTTGTGTTTTGTGTTTTGTGTTTTGGCGAAGCAACCCCCCCGCCCAAAAACGCGGGTGCAGCAGACGGAAACAACCAAGAGGGCTCAAGTCAGATGTGGGGCGTGCGGACGGGGCCCGGTTGATGCCCTGCATGAAACGCCGCATGGTTCAGCCTCCGTCTTCATTGAACACGATTTGGCTGATTCCCAAAGACCGGGAGATGGTAAGGCGAGGGAGGCAATGAACGCCTAATCAGTCCGTCGTTTCTACAAACAAATGTTCTGGACGTGTGTTCTTCCATGTTTGGTTTTGACTCACCCCCACTTTCCGCTGGCGCCTTCCAACCGCGCGTACTCGGCATCCAGGTTCGAGTCTGTCACCTGCAAATATCAAGTTGAAAAAATGTAGAGAAGTCGCCGTCCGCCGAGAGCAGGGGGGAAAAGGGACACATCAGAGGGGGTCAGACGACGACAAAAATTGCAGCAGTATTGGAGGCGAAACAAACATGCACCCCAGCTGAACCATGAACTCGTTCGCCTTAAAATTTGTCATGAAGGACAGTCCCCACTGATACCTTCAACGACGTGCTGGGTGCCAGGGCCGACCCACGACTACCGTACCCCATGTGATACGATGCCAGTGCAGCACTTGTTTCAGTTTTGCAGTGGCGGGGGGCGCCAAGCAAGGAAATAATGCGCGTGTTCCTTCCTTCCAAGAAAACGCTCACTGAAATAACAGTTTTTTGTCACGAGAAACAGTAACCTCCGTCGCTTGTGGGGGTCCCAGGGACGCTGTATCATGCGCGAACATTGAGTGTTCCCAAACAGCATCGTTGTGGTTCAAAGAGCGGTGTGTGGGGGGGGGGGGGCTGCGGCGGGGCCCTCTGCACTGCTGTGTTTCGGATTTCGGCGTAAGTTTCCACCAATAACAGGAATGACTAGGCTTGGACATTGGGCTGCGTACAAAGTCACACCGACTCGTGCCGAAATTCGTGTCTTTCCAACCACCCCTCCCAGATCCTGTTTTCTGCACCCCTGTCCTCTCCTCTCAGACATGGCGTTATTGGGACGGGGGGGGGGGGGGTTCAGAGCACGACACCCGCCTGCAGGTGGTCGTCGGGGTCGAGGTCGCACAGCTCTACCCAGCGGAGGAACTGGCTAAAGGTAATGTAACCGTCGCCGTCCGAGTCGCACAGATCGAAGTGCCGGGCCATCTCGTGCTTGGTGTCCTCTCCGCCCTCTCCGACAAGATGATCCTGGTGGGCGATGTGTCGCATGTATGTGTGTTATTGTTCGGTGTTTATTTAGCTCATGTTGTCGGTTGTTGCTGTTGTTCTCGGAGACAAACGAAGGCCGACCAACCAAACACGCAAGAGAGTGTACACAGCACCGGGTGGGGGAAGAATGGTCGCAGGTTCGAAATCTGCGATGGATCCGATCGGAATGGAGCCGAAACACGAAAGGGCACCACGAACGCGAAGAAACGCCGTAATCGCTCGCGAGATGAAGGCCAAACTAACTGTTGTTCATGCGCGAGACACAATTCTGTAAACGACCGTCGGGCTTGTGGAATACAAGAATATAATTAAGGGTGCGACTCAAGCTTCGGCAATTTTCCACTGAGATATTCCGAGTGCAGACGGGTACAGAGCAGCGCGTCTACAGATTATGTGCATACAGGCGTCAGCAACAGCAGTGGCAGGCAACCACTCCAGCCACAATGATAGCCTTACTAAATAGCAGCCACAATGATAACCTTACTAAATAGCAGCCATGTCTTCCGCCAGGTACAGCATACCCGGGCAGCAGTTGCGAGTAACCACCTCCAGCAACAACGACAACCATTTACCAGCAGCCATATCTTCCCACCAGGCTATCTATCACCTGAACGTCCGGCCAGGTCAACAGCCCGTCGAACGACACCAGGTGTTCCGGTCCGCCCCCGCTCTCAGCGACAACCTCCCCCTCCTTTTCACCAGCTTCCGCGGCCGTCGCAGCACCAGCACCAGCACCGCTACCGGCAGCCGCACGGGGCATGACCCTCTCCTCGAAGACTAGGGCCAGGGTCCCGGCCTTCATCAGCTCCGGGTGCTCCTGTTCCAGCTGCGCGGGGTCCGGGCGCTTGCTGACGAGCCGGGCAAGCTGTTTATCGTGTCGTGCCGAGCAGGATGCAGTGGTGTGGGGAGGGGGGGGGAGTCGTCTCAAGTTTTGCCTGTCTTAGTTGTTAGACCGGGGTGGGGGGGGGTTCCACGACTGAGAATATTTGTAGCGACAACTCTTCTGTAGCTGTATTATAGTAGGTCACAAGTATCTTTGATCTAGTGTCCGACGTCTTCGAAAGTCGTCAGACTCATAGAAAGTCGTGAGAGAGCTCATGATCTTTAAAAAAAAAAGGCAAACACCTCGAACGAGACCTACCTGGCGTGTGACCAGGAGGCGTTCCGCCTCTAGCTTTTCGTGCTCGGCCTCCTTGTACACGCCCTTCTGCTTCAGGCGGTCCATCTCCTCCCTCGAAAATGCGTGCGACAGCTTACGCTGGAGGAGCGCCTTGATCAGCAGCTTCTCGTGGGCCGCGCGCAGACTGTTCTCGGGCTGAACAAGAGACGCATCGAAGATGACAAAGCAAAACAAGGGAAAAAAAAGTAAACGTTAGGGGCACAAGAAAACGCGGTGTGTCAATTAAGCAACCGAGCCAACGACATGGTAGGCACCATTTCCTTCGTGGAAACGTGCTTTTCGCTGGGGCATGAGAAAATGAGGTGTGTCGGTGTTAAGGCATTCAGCAGGAGCCCAAGACATGGTCGGCACCGTTTCCTTCGTACAATAGTGACCTGCTTTTCGTGAGCCGCGCGCAGGGCACGGTGTACGTTGCTTTGTGCCGGGAGAACGAGACAACAAAATGCAAAAAGGTGGCGAAAACGGTTTTATGTCCATGGGCTACGTACGAGTAGGCCGGCTGTTGCTGATCTAGAAGGAAGGAGACGAAGACATTGAGGTAAGACCGGCGCCCGAGGTTACAGACAGAGATGAAAAACATTGTGGACAACACGAGATACGACAATCGCCCATGGTCACAGAAAGAGATGAAGACATCGTGGACAATACGAGCGAAGACCATCGCCCTGGTGGGCAAAGAAGCGCAACGAAGAGTACAAGAAAGACTGCCCGACACCGTCCGTGTCTGACCTGATAAACACCGTGGTCCTTCAGGTCTTGGATCGACTCCCGCCGCTCGAGGCCGTGCTTGAGGTTTCGAGTAGCCAGGTAGTGCTGCGAACACCACAACCATGATAGCAACAATCCGTGGCACGAGTGTGGTTTGAACGGAGGGGTCGGCCATGCGACCGACGAGTCTACAACAACGCGGTGGTACCTGCTGACAAGGAATGGAATAATAGTCAAGGGTGATCTTCCTTGCTCGTTCGTCTGTGGAATAAACAGCAATCGCGGCTTAACCGAAGTCTCGACCGACCGAGAGACGTCTCTAGCTCTTCTTACCGTTAACCCCAGTATGCTTTCTCGCAAGACGGACCAGAACACAGGTGCGACAAGTGTGAACGATACGGGGAGCGGATACACAGGCAATTTCTTCAATATTGTGCTGTTGTAGCTTCCTGTAGGACCCGATCTGTGGTTACCTCAGAGGTACGCTGTGCGATAAATCTATTGGTACGTAGCAACACAAGAGGGGAGGGGGCGGCGGCAAAAGTTCTATGGTCAACACGGGCAAGACTGTACGGTCGGAAGACATCGCAGGCGGCGGGTATTAAAAGGTATGACGAATAACAACCGATTTGCAAGAGAGAGGCCCATCGTTGCACATTGGTTGAAGCTGTGGTCACGTTTGCGAGCCCCCCCCCCGCCCCCGGTGCTCCAAGCGTTAATTCTTCTGCGAATCGAACGAATAGTAATATGAACACAGTCTTGATGTTCTGTCGCCAAGGGATCCATTTACCTCCATCTGCAACTCCCTGGGGGTGGCGTCGATGTAGATACCGTGTTCAACCAGGTCTTTCTTGGAGGGCCGCAGGGGATTTCGCAGAGATCTTGAAAGGCGTTTCTCGATCAACTGTCGCTCCAGGCCATGCTGCAGCGGTGTCGTCCTCTTTGGTAACATTGTTGCGCCAGGGAAAACGCGAAAGAGTTCGCAGATACGGTAGTGACGAGGCAGCGAGAGGACGCGAGAGCAAAAAAAAGTGTGATTTCGTATAAAGGCCAGAACGTCGTCGTATCTACAGTATCTGTTTCATGGGTGGTGCCTATGCCTGTGTTCGTTTCGTAAGGAACACGCACTGACCGTTCTGGCACATGTGTCGTGCAGCACGTATTTTCGACGGATCAGACAATATTTCGCGTGTTCTTGTCTTTGCACGAAGCGTTGTCTAGGACTGGTTGCTGCAGGGGCGGGCACATGGACGCCGCACCACATTGTTGTGTTGTGACGCGACTAGTCAGGGTTGGGGGAGATGGTCAGAATCCTGAACTCCAGCAAGCCGCTTCGGAGGTCGGAACTGCTGTAGCCGGCGCCTTGGCTCAGCCCCTCACACACCCCTCTCTCTCTCTCTCTTTGCAAGCCTAGCGTAATATGGACACACGCACACCTGGAATATTCCCTGGTTCGTGAGCTCTTCCAAGCTGGACCGTCGGCCCAGGCTTCCCCCGAGGGCCTCTCTCGCCACCTCCATATCCAGGCCTTCCTCTGCCGTCGACGGCGCTGACCCAACGCCGGCGCCGCCGCTGCGTTCATCCCCGCCGCTGGCCGCGAGGCTGTGCTTCATCATGCGCTGGTTCATGGCGAGCTCTAGCTCCTTGATCCTTGCCGTCCGCTCCCCGCCCTTGGAACTCCCGGACGTTGCCGCTGCCGACTCTGGCCACCGTTTCGCAACAAGTAGGGAAAAGCATCGGCGCCACGAGCGATCGACCAGAACAAGCGTGGTCGAGATCAGCGCCAACGAAACGTCATTCACCACATTGTTTTACTATCGCTACAAAGGCGTGTCAACATGTGCCGACACATAAAATGTTCGAGCGACAACAAAGCCTCTATTGAGTGCGTGTTTGACTATCGCTAAAAACGCGTGTGCACACACCTACCTGGTACACAAGTATATTCGCGCAGCATCATTTCTAGCTACAGAAGGGGCCAATGCCGTCTTTGCCGACCTGACTTTTTTCTCGAAGATGCACGAAGTGGGGAATGTCCCCTAAGAAACGAGGGTAACACATGGAAAGGCGCACGTGCATCAAGCACAGATGCGCCTCAGGGGGCATGGTTACAAGAACACCACGTGTGACCTTCCATCCAGGCCGACACCTGTCCCGTGACAGAGTGGCGCGATACATAAAATCACGGAAGCAGAACCTCCTCCCTCATGCCCCCCCAAGGCCACCCACCATCGTGCCCCTTCTTTCCTCACACCAAACAACGGAAGCAGATCCTCCTCCCCCATGCCCCCCCAAGGTCGTCCACCTCTTCCCTTCCCCCCGCCCTTGCCAGCATCCGTGATCGGTCCTGGAGGAACAGTTCTCCGCCCTCTCGACAACGCGTGGTCACTGGTCTACCCGCTTAAGGCATGCAAAACATGAGCACGCCACCCCGCCCTCATCGGCCCTCCCTATCGACCAACCTCTTACCGGCGGCGCGGGATCGCAGGTGGCCCTCCAAGCGATTCTTGAGGAGGCTTTTCTCCAGGTCGACGGCCTCGGTGCTGTGGAACTCCTTGGCGATTCTCTGCGTCTCCGGGTCGTCCTTTTTAGGCCTCGCCCGTAAGTGCGCGAGAAGATGCTCCTTCAAGGTCCTGTCGAGAATAATGCGGTGGAACATCGTAGAGAGAAGCGGCGGGAGTTAGATTCGCACATACGTGTAGGCAACAACTGAACTATCGACTGTCAACAGGAACTTGTTTAATGTTAGGTGCCTTGTGTTTGGCCCCAAGTGTTACCGGTGTTTTAACACGGCACGCAAGGTGTAGCTGCGCCCGCGACTGTTGTGTCACGGGTGTTCACGAAATACACAACGAGGTGCGAAACCAGATGGGCAGAGAGAGCGACAGAGAGACAAGAGAGACAGAGAGAGAGAGGAGCAGACGGTTCTCTTTCTCTTCTCCAACTAACTCACCCGTAGCTGTCCTCTTCAGCGGCGTCGGTGGCACGTTTCCGCCTCATCTCCAGGCGGCGGGCGTGGTTCGCCGCCGCCTCCGGGTCGTTGTCGTCGTGGTCGTCGGTCTTCCCCGCCGAAGCATCAGCACCCAGACCGTCCACCTTTTCACGGCACCGGGTATCGATCGTCGTTGGACGGGGACAAAAACATGGGCAACGGGGTTTGCATGCTTGAGGGGAGCGATTTGTAAAACGGGGGGGGGGGATTACTTGCTTGCCTTAGCTGTTAGACCGTTGGCGACAAGGGGGGGGGGGGGGGGGGGGGGGT